CCCCCTTCTTCTTAGATGCCATTGGTTTTGTGAAATCCCCGCCTATGACTGGTAAACAATAAGAAAAAACCCATCACTAAGTAATGTTGAAGAAGCAGATACCGAGCATAGGGAGAGAAAACTCATGAACCATTTGTGAACGACGTCAACAACTGGAGAATGCCAAATAAAAGGATGGCATCTGCCTTCAACAGAGAAAGTTGAAATGAGAAAATCTCCCAAAAGAACAGAAATTAACTACCAATCCCATAAATCAAGATTAAATGGAATAGGGTTGCCAAAACCATCCCAACCTTGGCAATATAAAGATAATAACAGAAATGGCATAGTTTTAGGGGAGGCCACGGGTTTCTCCATGAGACACGCATGAAACATACAAATAAAAAACCCTGTAAGTTTGCTATAAAACATCCATAACAAAACAGCCCAATCAATCATCAAGTCATCTCATTACAAAGCTTCCACACCCAACCATAAGGCATAGCATAGGGGAGCACAAAACAAGCCAATTTAACGATAATCCACTATAAAGAGTTTTCCATAAGGCTATGTTTGGTTTGAAGAAAATTATACAAGATTTGTAAAGATTTTCCTACATTTCTCTTCCTTTCCCTACTTTTTCCTTCAAACCAAACACAGCCTAAAAGATGCCTATATTGAAATGATTGACCATCCAAAACGGATGCCACCTCCACAATTTGTATATGAATCCCATAACCTGGGAAAATTTGCCTTCAATCACAGTGCCAACAAACGAGACAATTGAATGCATTGGTTTGCCGAAAAATCTATGAATTCTGGCACTGACACCCACACCATGAAGCCCCACAAGCATATATATATATATGAATTCTTAAAATCATCTTTGTCACAGTCGAATCATCGGGTGTTGGGAGTGGAGAGTCCAGATATCCTGTACATTTATTTCTATACATTTCCCTGCAAAACCTATTAAAGAGAGACACGTTAACGTTATATGAGTTAAAGGATTTGTACGTGCGAATAATTTAACTAGAATGAAATTACTTCCGTTTCTTTGTTTCCCAAAATTTTTAAAATTTAAAATTTATTGAAACAAAATAAAGGGAGTCATTGATAAATTTCGGGCGACTGCTTTATGGATACTTTTATTTTAATGTGTTTTTAAAGAGAACCTTTAAATAGAGCATCTTTTAAGTGTTAAACTATTAACCGTGTTGTGGTATTTCATGCATCTCATGTATAGATTTTTTAATCCGCAGGATGATGACGTGTATCACTCTGATAGGTCATGCAGGAAAATGTGTAGGAAGATATGTGCAGGATATTCAGACTCGGGAGTGGAAAATACTCGGGGTCTGCTAGTTATCTATAGTGTGTAAACTTTGCCAGATCCCCCACTAAAATGGTTACACAGGTCCCATTTCATGTGAGATAACATAGGCATGTCAATTCATGCCAACTAAGTGAATTGATTAACGATTCTGTTTATGATTGGGGATATATTTTTTAGGGTAAAATATAAAAACCTCTCTTCAAGTTTCTAACAATTATAAAAACTTTTCGTTTTAGCAAAAATCTCTCCTTTAATTTTGAAAAATTCAATAAATAGCGCCTTTCTGTCAATTAATAAAACAAAAAATGGTTTTTTCTTTCTTAAATACCTATTTTACTCTTGCACGAACACTGTTCATCTTCTTCCTCACGATGCACGTATACCAGTCATCGGATGCATGCCTGACGAAAATAGAAAAAAAAAGGTATCATACTTTTTAAAATCTCAAAGGAGAGCTCTGAGCTCCTATAGTCGAGTTCAATCTCTCGCTCATTTTCTGTATATATTGTTGGATTTTAATCTCATAAGAGATTAAATCCAATGGGTATGATTGGTCAATTACATGAGAAATTGCACCTACACACTTGATTGGAAAATTAGCTTTTCTCTTGCAAAACCCAATTTTGAACTTGTCCCACATTGAAAAATTATAAACTTTGTTTTCAGTATTTTAATAGGAGCTGATTTATATACTACATAAAATTAGTAGAGGGAGAGCATAGGGGTTCGATACCATGCAACGTGCGTGCATGTGTGTGTGCGGCGCAATGAACCATCACCTACATTTTCTCCATATCTCTTCATAAACTATTTAAAGAGCATGAATCAGACTCCAAAAACACATAATTTCAAAATTCACTATCTCTTTTTCTCTTAATCCGGTGGAGACGCCGGAGGCTGGTTTTCGTAACTCAAAACAGCTGAGACTTCCATCTGCTTGAGACTTCGTCTCCTAAGGTTCGAATTTTTCCATCTATGTGCAGACCTAGATGGTCGGAAACAATGGAGGTGGCGTGGAACAAGTGTCGCAGTCGCTCCAAAGGAGGTGTTACAGAGGCCGAAGGTATTGGAACATGGCCCATGTTTCGTGTCGGGTGATATGGGAGGAAGAACATGTCCTCCTGCGTCACCCATTTTGCCTCTGAATTCGTTCTACAGTTTTGAGGAATTTCAACCAAAGGAGAGAAAGAAAAGGTCAAAGAAGACTAGGAAGACCCACGAGAAGTACAAGAAGAAAGAGAGTTTCTACCATCTCAGCTCCTTGTCTGCAGAAACTAATGGTGGTGGGTGGTTCAGCAGTGAAGAGGAACTAGATGACGAGATAGAGATGTTTTTCTCCTCGAGGAGCTTCTCTTCTGATTCCTCGGAGTCTCGTCACCTAAACAAGAGAAGTTCTTGCCGGAGATCAGAAGCCAGAGCTGAACGGAGAAGAGCAGTGAGCAAGAATTCCGATATGGGATGCTGTATGTTTTCCACTAGGGGGAAAGTGCAGGAAAGTTTCGCAATAGTGAAGCGCTCCAGCGATCCTTACAGTGATTTCAGGACATTAAAGGTGGAGATGATCATCGAAAAGCAGATATTTAAAGCCAAGGATCTCGAGCAGCTTCTACAGTGCTTTCTGTCGTTGAACTCCATTCATCATCACAAAGTGATCGTCGAGGTCTTCTCAGAGATATGGGAAGCTCTGTCTCTAACTTGTCTTGAAGAAATCTGCTATTTCGTCTTGTTATATTTAGATTTCTGAGAAAGTAGCTTGCTTTTCTCGTTTTTTTTGTTAACTCTTGAAACTCTTACTGTTATTGACTATGTTAATGGTACTGTTTCTAGTTTTTCCTCTCAAACCTTTGATGGGTTCTTCTTCTTACTTCATTTTCATTGTTTGTTTCTTTGCTTTCTGTTCCTCCTTCGATCTAATGGGGATCAGTTAAAGAAATGACAAAGCAGACGAGAAGCTAACAGAGGGAGAATAATACATGTTTTTCGTCTCTTACAATTTAAGAATAACTTTCTAAAGTTAAGTACAGCTGTCAACCCCTAAACAGGTGTTAAACCTCAGTAATCTTTTTTACAAAACTGCCCAGAACATTCTTTCCCTCACAGTCCCTTGTTTAGCCAACCTATCAACTAAACCATTAGCTGATCTCCTTCTCCATTTGAAGCATGCACCGATCTTCCCTAAATTTTCGGAAAATTCAACACAAACCACCCTTTCGTTACTATGCTATACAAAAAACCTTTGGTTAATACGTTATTTTTCTAAAATACCTATTTTACCCTCCTGTATATGATTTTATATATAATTTTACTAAAATCTTATTACTGGTTAGACAAGACACAAGAACTTGTGTCGCTTTGGGTTCTAAGGTCGAGTCCTCGACCCCGACAACATGAAACCAGCAAAAAGTAACAACAGCTCTGGTGGCTGGAGATGAAAGAACTGTCTCTCCTGGTCAAGGTTTCGGATGAAGAAACCCGACGCCACCAAAACTGTCCCCATCGATGCTCCTTCCCACGATGAAGCAACCGGCATTAAAGATGTCGTAGACCGGCGGTATCGATCGGTGGATGAGTCAAATCAAAGAGGCCGAGACATGTTGGAATCACTGATCCGCCAAAACTTGCTAATGAACGTCTGGCCATTGTAAAGAAGGTAATAGCCTGACGAATATTGACCTTTGGCCTTTGCAGAGGCATGTCTCCTCTTCCCACAAAGGGACTGTAAGGGAAGAAGAGTATCAAGGAGAATCAAAGTTTCGCGAGGATACGTTACCGTGACGGTCTCTCAAGACAAGAACAAGATTCCCGGAGTTGAGGAGCTCGGCTTTGAATCCGTTTCCAGTGTTGTTGGTGGACTAGACAATAGTGCGGTGGAGAGAAAATATACATGAAGAGAGTCAATGGGGAAAGAGAGGAAATAAACGTATTAAAGTTTATTTATGGTCGTTTGGTCTCTTTGGAGACATAAGATTAAAATGATACTGATAAGATTTGCATGGGCCTTATGCAAAGATAACACAAAAAATGTAGAAATGGTCCACATTAAAAAAGAAAAAAAGAAATTCATGATCGTTTGAAATAATCATGATTTTATGACTCACACATACACACAAAAAAGCAGCGGTATTACGAATGCACGAGAGGGAGGCAATATAAGTTGCGTTGTATACCGTTTTTATCATCATCGAAGCATTATCCCAATTATGTCATGGTTGTAAAGAGGCAAACAAAGCATGATCATCATCATCTTCTATTCATGAATTCGTTATACACCGTTTCCACCCAGAGACGATCCTATGAAGAACTGGTGACCACCACCACCACCAAGAAATAGCGATGGATATCTAAGACATATCATGCTGGAAATCAGAGTAACCGGCGAAGAGGCGAGCTCGAATTCAGCAACTCCTTGTTTCAGCTGTTGTTAGGGAGAGGGAGCAGATTGAACAGGCCAGGATTGATGGAGACCATGAGATTGTTTCATTGAAGAAATCTGTATGGAACCTCGCTTCAGAATTTGGAATTCACGTAAATCCACCATTAGTCCAACCATAGAAGGCAAAAAGACTGGTATCAATATCTTCTGCATTCAACCAAATTAAATAAATAAGCAGAATTGTATGATAAGGATCGGTTCCCCATCAGAGCAGGCCTGGTCCCATCAAAGCAAAGATTTGACGGAAAGGGAACATTTTTGGAAAGTTAAAAGCAACGAGACCATGAGTTAAGCGACAACGAGGGTTGAGGTGAAAGAGACAAGGATTGATGACGGGGAGGGGGGATTCAGTTACTTGCAGGTTGGGGTGAAAGCACCGGGAACGCCGAACAAGATGAACTTTTTATCGGCAGCGAGGGAGTGAATGGAGGAGATCTTTTGAAGGTCGCCGTTCTCGTCGAAGTAACCAAGAGTGCCGTCTGGAATCACGTCACCGACTGAGATGGGAGCCATTGCCAATTGCTCTACATTTTACTCCTAACCTTCTTTTCAAGACAAGAGGAGACGAGAGAGTGGAATTCAGCACAGGCAGTGACGTTCACCAGCTAGTTATTATTATTGTTAATTGTGTATTTCTTCTTCTTCTTATTATTATTAATCTTTTGAATTATTTAAAAACATAAGTTTAACACCGAACAAGTCAATTTATACAGCATTTTGATTTCAACGTGCCAGTTGAACACGAAGTCGGGAAGAGTAGGGGATGAGTTTGCATTTTTTCCGATATGTAAAAGAGCACAACTTTTTGATTCCTTTAGAAACAGAAGAATGTGTAGCAGAAGCAGTACCACTACTTAAACATTTACTCCAACTTTGAAGGATTGATGCAACTCCTCAACGCTTGAAATTATTGCAAGGATATTAATAATGCTTCACAACTCAGCCTCAGGAAATGCACGGGGAAGTACACCAACACCAGGATTAACCCGAACAATCGTTTTAACTTTATCAAGCGCCAATTTTTCTATCATTTGGTGGGCTTTAAAAAAGTAGTCCGGATCTCTTGAGTCTTCACCATAAAATCAAAATCCATTGGGAACATCTCTTGCATTTTATGGGAAGATGTTCCCGATGTGCGGCTCTAGTTCACACATGAATGTTTTTTTTCGGGATGTGAGTAAGTTGGGCTTGTGACTACTGACTACCCGCGTGGGTATCTTAAAACTCAGCCCATCCTTCCAAACTTACACTCTTAACTAACAAGTTTTGAAACTGCCCTAAAACTAAATTTTGCCTCTTTTTAGTCGGGTGCAGCCCCAACTACTAGCCGGTAGTAGCTGCTAGCTGGTCCCCTACTCCCCTCCTTCACGTTCCTTTCTGAAGATGGGGCAGCTTCGGGGCAGGAATTGTCATCAGAAACCGGAAGAGTGAATTTGTAAATGGACAGTTAGTTCTACTCGTCCCTCTTTACCTTTACGAGAGGTAGAGGTGTCAATTGGACTGGATTTGGTCTAACCCGATGTGAGTCCACTTACAAATGGACTGAATCCAATTTAGTTCAAATCTAATACAAATTAAATCCAATCTAATTCATTAAAATGTAAATGGACTGGATTTGATATAATCTAAATCGAATGAAATATCAAAAATTGTAATTAAAAGTACTTTCGTAAAAGTATTTTTATAAAAGTACTTTCATAAAAGTTATTTTATACCGGCTTCATTTCTGATCGGTTTCAAATTAGACAAAGGTTTAGCCTCATAATCAGATTATTAGAAATTTAATTTAGTTCCAATTCAGACCAATCAAAATATAAACTAATTTATTTTGGATTGACCCAATCCAATAATTATAACAGACTATCCAAATCCGATTTAATAAGATTTGGATCAGAATGAATCCATTGCAAAACCAACCGGTCGATTGACACACCTGAGGAAGCATAAGCCATGCTTTAATTTTCCTTTGCTTGGTATCACAATCTATAACCAACAATAACAATTAATCCTCCAAACCATTGCCATTTGGATTCACACGGTCTCCACGCCAAGGAATTCTATCACTGAATTCAGTACCCATGCACCACTCATTTTTCATGCTTTGCAGTTTGCTCTCTTCTCTCTCTCTAATAGACGGAGACATGTTTTTCGCAGACCCAAATCCTCAAAAATTTTTAATTAACAGATTTTTTGAAAAATTAATTTATTTAAAATTATATATATATATATATATATATAAGCATAATCGGGTGGAAACTTCATTCTCCATCTCTGATGATGCACAATCCGGCCGATCTTAGCTGTCAGCGATCTTGCCTCTGAACTGAGTGGCAGGGACTTGAAACGGAAGGAGAAGAGAAGCTCCGGGGAGAACCCGGCATAAGGGCTCCGAAGCTCAAGTTAGAGTCTTTCAAAGGCAAGATAGATCAGATAGCGCAAAAGTTAGCATACCTCGTTCCTAGGGTGTAGGAGCCTTTTATAACCACCTCGCGCACTCACTTCCAGGCTTCCGTCAGATCGGGCATGATTACTTCTGAACTCCTGCCAGTTCGGATGTCATTTCCTCTGGCCGAACAGAACCGCCACTGCTCCTTTTGTCGGAGC